TGGCAAAGGCAAACTGACCGGAAAATTAATTGATGATCTATCATTATATTTTGGTTTGGCAATACATCGAAATTATATGGAATTCAATTGTTAATATGAAGAAAGAAATATGGGCCACGCTTTATCACAAGATTTCCACGGACGACAACCCGCAGCACGATAGATGTCCAGATGGCGAAAATTCCTGGTGCTCGTGGAAAAAGGCAAAATCTCGCAACAAACTCGTCAATTATCAACACAAACCAGCAATGAAAGACGAAGTTTTTAATGCTGTTAAATCCATCTATGAAGAACTCAGCCAGGATGAACTATTATCACGGTGCTTGGGTGGGTTTACGCAGAACAGCAACGAGTATTTCAATTCTGTTCTGTGGGCGCTCGCTCCTAAAACCATATCCAGTGGCAAAAAAATCATCGATATTGCTGCTGATATTGCAGTATGTAATTTTAATGATGGATTACAGAGCATCATGGACATTATGCAAACTTTGAACCTACCTATAAGTCAAAGTTGCTACGATTTTTGTATAAAAGCCGATAATTATCGTATTCAGAGAGCGGAGGTTTCAATTACTGAAGCTGCTCGAGAGGCTAGAAGAAGTAGTGTTTCTGCTCACAAGCTTGCTAATGAAGAAGAAATAGATGCTGAAGGTATCCTGTATGGCGCAGGTATTGCAGATTGACGGTTAGTTGAAAATATTTATTAGTTTCATGTATGTAAAACTTTAAACGCGTTTTTCTCGAAACGATATTTTTTAAATCTGCGTGTCAAATCAGTCTTCCAATTTTCATCGGATTGACTTGAAACTTTGCATAATTCTTCCCTATGGTATAATCTAAAAATGTACGTAGGATTTTTTCTTTAGCATTGTTATTTTATTTTTGGTGCATAGTTTTATAAACTTTTTTTACCCTGAAAAATTGAATTGTTTTTTAATGACCGCCATTTTCTTAAAAATCGAAATTTCGTAAAACCCCTACGTACAGACTTAAAAAATATTGTTATTAATAAGAAAAAATTTTGATTTTTGTTCTAGGAGCCACGTAGAAGAAGGAATTTGACACGCAGACTGACGGTGTTCCTCAAAAGCCGTATACTTTGGCCCCACCTACAAGAGGCTATTTTTTACTTTTTTGATATTAAAAATTTTTTTATTGCAGCTTAAGGTTGTCTTAATAAATGGCTAAAACCGATTTTCTTTCTGCGCATTTTTTGTATGAAAAAAAAATCATGAAAAACGCCTCCAAAATTGCAATCAAAGGTGGTATCCTGC